TGCAGTTTTTCTTTAGATAAATGAAGGAAATCAGAAGTTTTTCTTCGGTATTGTTGTAAAAAAATTTGACTGCGTCGCTTATTATATCAATGGCGCCAATAATTGACAAACCTAAAAGAAAACCAACCGTTCCACCTATTTCTCCTAAAAAGTCGCTCCAGTTATAAGAATATCTTTCTTCTAATGTAATGACCTTTAAAAAAATTATATAAATTATTTATATTATACAATATATATTGTTTCATTAACAACAAATTTTTTATTAATTTCAGGCAAACAATACAGTTAATTAAACATTTCACCATTTTGTATTTACTTAACTGTTTTTGATGAGAAATAAATGATGGCTGTGCTACTTAGTTTTCTTTCTTCAGGACAAGGTGTTCTCTTAACAACAAATAATTTATAATGAGTAGTTTTACAATTTTTTTTGCAACAATTTTTATATTTGATTCTAAAAAAAAAAGTAACAATTTTTTAAACAAACTTGCATTAATGATACAATTATCAAACAAATTAATTTTTTTCATCATACCCAAAAGCTGCTTTTAACAAAGTTCTCATTTCTTCATAATTATTGCAAAGTCTTTTATCTAAATTAGGAAACCATGGTCCTGTACAAGGCACATTTGGCTTTATATCTTCATTAATAGTACAATTTTCTTCACACTATAATTAGTAATATTTGAAATTAATTTTTTTCTTTTTTTTATACGTTATATTTGATTAAAGGACTCAATAAAAGGATTTCAAGGATTTCAAATGTAAAGGACTTAATAAAATTATGTCAATTACAAATCATACCTCAGTTACACTATAATTTTCTTCATCTGAACAATTTCTTAAAACATTAAATTGATAGGCATCAATGCTAACTTCAGTGATTTCACCAACTGGGACAAAAACATGATCCTGTCTGCTTGACATTAAATTTATATTTTCTGTTTTTTTAATGAGTAATATATAAATATTTTATTTTGCATTAAAAGAAACATAATACCTGAAATATAAATAAATATATACCTGAAAATTTTTCTCTAGGTTCGTGTATGTAAATTTTCCAACCAGGCTCTTCGTCGACCAGTGGTTTATAATCTTGCAAATCGTGTGTTAAGAATAAACTATATCCAGATCTTCTACCAACTGATTGTACTGGAAAAATTGGTTTTATGGTGTGACACATTCCATTTTTCAAATGTAAAGAACTGGTAATGTTAACATCTAAAAATTATAATTCAAAGTTTGTGTTTTAACATGATTTAAAAAAACTTAAAAACAATTTAATTTTTTTTTTTACTTTTTCTATCCAATCCACAGCTGGACAAAACGCTTTGATCATAAACGGCTTCATTCCAAAAATCACTGATGTTGTATATATCGTAGGGATAATTTTTCCAAAAAGATGAATATGGAAACGATCCAATGTGATCAACAGGAAAATTAAATTTCTACAATAAAAAGGTAAAAAAAAAAAAAAAAAAAAACATACTTACTATTATTATTTATTCTTTCTCTAATTAATTCTATTTAAAATACTACCGGAAATACAAACCGGAAATACTTCTTTATTGTAAGGAGGTTCTCTACATATAGTAACTGCCGGATAAAATAATGAATCGTTTAATGATAAAATCGAATGACTTGTTATCGGTGGATTTTTTAATTTATAACAACATTCTACTAACTAAAAATAATAATAATAATACAAAACTTAACAAATAGCAAAAAAATTTTCAAAAATTTTTCCTTGGAAAATATTTTTCTGTACCTGAATGTATACAATTAACAAACATATTCCAACGACTACCCATTTAATCCAATCTTGAAATCTTTGTTGAAAAAGCCATTCTTGAATTTTTTTCCAAATTCGATTTGTTTTAGATGGTATCTGAACCATAGCGTGGTTATTATCAATATGATTTAATATTTGCCCAAGTGATACCTTTTAAAAAGAATTATTATTGCTTTTTCTCCCCCCCCCATACCCCATACCCCCCTTCATAATTTACGATGTTTTTATCTTATTATTGCTTTATAATCAAACATTTTCCTTTTATATTATCACCTTTTTTTTTTTTTTAATATTTTCTGTTTTTGACATGTTAAAAATTTATTTTCTTGTCTTCTTTTTTTCCTTTTTTTTTTTTTTATTAAAATCATAAAAATTGTTTTTCTTTTTTTCTTTCTTTTTTATTTTATTTTAAATTTAAAAATTTATTTTGCTAAGTTTTTCTTTTTTTCTGTTCTAATGGAGGGGAAAAACTAAAAATGGTTTAAAGCATTTTAATAATAAATTGACAACAACAAAAAAAAAAAAAAGCATTTTTTATTGTAAACAAAAAATTTATTTATTTTATCGGCGATTTAACTTTACTTTTTACCCTTTTGAAAAAGATAAAAGTTATTTAATTTTTTTTTTTTTTCTACTTAAAATGGTAAAGTGCACCGAAAGAAAAACAAACAATTCTTATGGAGATT